TTTTATTCAAAGTATTCTTCTACGTAACCCGGTCGCATATAGATGCTGCCTCAACCATGTCTCCGGTCTGTGTGTCCCCAGATACTTCCTCCAACATGTGTCCGCTATATGTGTCCCGGATGCTGCCGCAACCATGTCTCCGGTCTGTGCATCCACAGATGCTGTCTCAACCACTTTCTCCGGTCTGTGTGTCCCCATATACTTACTAAACCATGTCTCCGGTCTTTGTGTCCCCATATACTTACTCAACCATGTCTCTGGTCTGTGTGTCCCCATATACTTACTCAACCATGTCTCCGGTCTGTGTGTCCACAGATGCTGTCTCAACCATGTCTCCGGTCCGTGTGGCCCCATATACTTACTCAACCATGTCTCCGGTCCATGTGTCCCCATATACTTACTCAGCCATGTCTCCGGTCTGTGTGTCCCCATATACTTACTCAACCATGTCTCTGGTCTGTGTGTCCCCATATACTTACTCAACCATGTCTCCAGTCTGTGTGTCCACAGATGCTGCCTCAACCATGTCTCCGGTCCGTGTGTCCCATGATGATTTCTCAATAATGTCTCTTGTCTGGGTATCCATGTCTCAGTGTTTGTCTCCGTGAGCCGTATAAATTTTACCATGCATCCACCACATTATACCCCTGGCCAACTCAACACATTAGGCTACTGGTATCATGCTTAGGCCTCAAATCCTTATACCCACTAGCATCCCATCCAAGACATCTACATATCTCTTCCGTGTGTCTCGCTGATCCATCGCCCATAAGAATGGAAATTACGCATACTACGTACCCATATGATATGAACATTTCCAGGCACCTTTGATACACCAGTTGGTTCATAGGAGACTTATCCTTCCATGTCTCAATAGTTGGCACCACTACATCTAGTTGTGTTGTTACAAACCATTAGGCGTTGGATAACTCCACTTCATGCGAACCTAAAGCCTGTGGATCAGTGTCATATTGGAGCTGATAAGTCCGTACTTTCTGTATCCAACTAGTGAACACTCTGTCTGTGGGATATGACAACTTCGCCTTCGTCAATTTTTCCACCAAAACTTTATAGTGTGATATGGTGTCAGTTGCTGTCAGTGCTTCCTTGATAGTGTTCCATACAATTGGATGATATGCCAGGTCATCAATCTTATCCCCTATCCTTCGCATGGGGCTATTGAACCTGAGATCCTTAAAACTACCACTATCTGTTAAGAGCTTCTCTGTTTTCGCGAATCCCTCATGTTTCCACATCGCCACCATAATAACATTGTCAGATGTATATCCGGATGTAGTTGCAATAGGTCCTTCTGAAACCATTATATCACCCGCCTGAACAACCGCGGCTCTACCAACCACACTATCTATACCTGTCTTGTATTTTTCCGCATCGATATATGGAACCTTAGACCGCTTCACAGGTCTCTTCACATGTGCTATCGATTGTTCTACCTTTCGCTTCCCAAGGGATAATTTTATTTATTTAAAATAAAAAAGATAAGTTACAATGTATGTATGTTATATTGTATGAACATATGGTATGGCTCTCATAACCGTTGTAGTGGTTCGAGAAAGATCGATGGGAAGAAGTGGTCAGTAAATTCCCGTTTGAAGCTTGGGCCAAGTAAGTCGACGATGGAGGATATGCGCTGAATCAATTTGGGCCGGTGCTGACAAAACACTGATACCATCGAATGTGCCATGTATTCGCTTGCTGACCTACTAAGTAGCGTACACACCTCTGTGGTACGGATCGGGTCTGCGCCGTGTAGTGCCGTGGAATGGGTTGGTGCAGAGTACGAAATACCGAGTAGGACCAGGTTATCCGTCATAATTCGGTCGAGGAACGAGGATGGGGGTGAGCCAATGCCGCACCAGACCACAGATGTATTCGGTATGTGCTGGCTGGCCTGGATCGGAAGTATTATAGACGGGACCAACAAGCGCGATGATTTGGTTTGAACCGAAATTTGGAAGTAGTACTTCAAGAGCGTGATTGGCCGGGGTATGGGAACATCTGTTGATGTGTCAGAGACGGGTGAGAGTACGATGTTTCTTCTACATGCTGGAGAAAAGATCCAAGGTGTTCGAGAAGGGTCCAGATACCGTGGAAGTCATGCCACTCCTGTAATTGCCGGAGGAGGTCAGGGCCAATGGGCGGCAGTTTCGGGCCTACCAGTATGCGTCGAATCAGTTGTTGGATGCAGGTAAAGTGGCTGGTGGTGAACTTGTGGCTATCCGGACAGGCAGGGCAGAGACAGCCGTCGGTGCGCTAGTCGAGCAATGTGAACATGTACGTATTGGTTACAATCATAGCACAGAGCTGGATTGGTGTAGGCTCGAGGCAGCGGTTGAAGCTGTCGTGTCTGGCTTTGTCTCGGTTTGAGGTTAGCGGTTTACCCATAACTAGTTGGTAGTAGTATTGGCGCCGGGCCATTGTCGCGATTTCCTTGTTGGACCAGCGTTTTGTTGAGTTCTTCCTGATGTCGTCACAGCGTTGGCGGAGGGCTACATGGTCGGGTGTACGCCCGCCCGTGGTTTTGTGTACAGTTTTCAGGGGAGCATAAATACTGTACGGGAAGCGCAGTGATGGTTTGTCGTGGGCCCAGGCGGGTTGCGACAGAGGGGTGAGTGGATTTGTGCTGGCCATTGAGTTGAGTTGTATTCCCAGACAACCTCCGAGGTAGTCGGCGAATCGTCGCGCCGGGAGAAGGCCACAAAAGTGGAGTAAGTTTATTTTATGTTTGGGAAACCGAAGGTATTTAGTGCCCATGATGATTGCTGCTGCTTGGATTAGTGCTGAGTTAAAGCGCTCGAACAGGGGGTCCAACGCATCCTTTCATGTAGGCGGAGCCCAGGCAATAATGTTCAGGCCATATGTAGCCGTGGATAGGATGAATGCTTTGAACAGCACCAGTCGGTTGCGGGGGTGTCGCCAGCTGAAGCCATGGAAGCCATAAGCGCAGAAAGAGGCGATACCCAGAGACAATGCTGCAACCAGGGATTCCTTTTGTCTGGCGAGGCTGATCCCTGGTATTCCGTGAAAGAGTGGGAACCCCAGATATTTGGAGTGTGTCGGTTTGGCATGTGTGGGCGCCATCTTTAGGGGAAGGTAACGTGTGTTCCAAGGTGCGTCTGCAAGCGTCGGCGTGATAAACTTTTAACCCTAAAACCCCTAAACCCCCCCCCCCCCCCCCGCGTGTCGCAAGTCGGTAGATCGTACTCGGGGTTTAATGACACCCCGTTCGAGGCCAGATTTGCGTCCCCGCGCATCAATGTCATCTAAGAAGGGCTGGAGCGGAACCGATTGAGGGGCTTGGATCCGTGTGTCATCGACAAATAAATAAGAGCGGAGGAGCTTGGGCCAAAATTGTGCTAGCGTGACAGCAAAGGAATCCATGTAGATAATAAAGAGCTGGGGGCCGACGATTGAGCCTTGTATGATTCCATTCGTTCTCTGGAATAGAGGCGAGAGCGTGCCGCGGTATGTCGCCCGGGTAGGGACCCTCTCAAATAGCGCGCGGAGACAGTTGATCAAGTTTTCGGGCATTCCAGCGTGGCGCAGGAGTACCCATAGGCGTGGGTCATATGCCTTAGTAATGTCCAAACAGACGTCGTTCCACTCCTCTTCTGACTGTGTCTCAGATTCCATGGTAGCAAGTGCTTGGGTATGACATGAGTACCGTGATTTGAAGCCAGCTTGTGTAGCTTGCGTAGCAGAGTCGGGGTGGCTCGTAATCAGCTTACGAAAGCACTTTTCAAAGATCCGTCTGACCGTTTGCGTAAGCGTGATGGGGCGGAAGTCGTTGGATGATATCTGCATCGGCTTTCTTTAGGTGCGCTGTCAGGAGGCTGCAGTTCAGGGCTACAGGGAAGGTACCCGCCTTCAGTAGCTCAGTGAATGCTTCGGCAAGGAGTATAATCAGTGGGCTATTGGCGTCGGGGCGTATGGTGGAAGTGACATCGGGAGAGGGTTCGGTATCCGGTGGAACCACGTACGGGTTTGTAGAGTTGAATAGGTTCTCAAAGTAGCCAGCGAGGGCGGCGCCTGTGTCATCGGTACCCGGTATGCAGGGTTGGCGCGGAGACCTTCGTTGGTACGCAATATCTTTGAACATTTGAGCATTGTTTTGGGCGGTCAGACGTGGGCGGAACGAGTGGTTTGGCAGCCGCTGATCTCAGGGTCTGTTTAAGTCATAGTAGAACCCTCCGAAGATTTGTGGGTTGGTGGCATAGCGCCTGATGCGGTCGAGGATCCGTAGCAGCCCTTCCGCTGGTCCGTGCAAAGTGAGATACGACCGTAGTAGGTTCTGATGAGCCCGGATTTCGGCTTAGAATAGTCGCGCGTGGGATTTGTTGCTATGGAAAAATGGGAATACTACATTCAAAGACATCAAATTTTGATTGATGGTACTAGCGCAACCAATCT